AAAACCCAACTATGACTTGTTATAAAACCCAACTATCACTTGTTGTAAAACCCAACTATCACTAGTTGTAAAACCCAACTATCCCTTGTTGTAAACCCAACTATCGCTTGTCTTTCGAAGAATTCAACCTATTTATCATATCTATTTTAGTTAAAGTTACATTTGACCAAGACCCCGTGGTTAAAGTTACATATGACCCAATTAACAATTTAACAAAATGTCATGCTTGGAATTACTTTCAGCAATTTCTAGTTGCAGGAACCAGAAAGCACCACTATTAACATAGTGATCTTGATTAGCTGTATTTATTGGTCGTTTGGTGAACATCCGAGATAGGTCCTTGGCCGTAGGATGTAACCGACGAAGGACTGTATATGTCTTTCTTGTTGAATGATATCTACGGCTTCACAGATGCGTCCACGAGACAGTAGATAAGATTGTTATTCACGAAAGAGGTGAATGGCATCTTTTAACCATATGGACATTAGCCACCCTATTGGAGACTTACGATGAAAACCACATAAATCGTTAGTGAAATCCTTGCAGAAGTATGCCGCACTTAAGGGCAAACGAAATGATGTAATTAGGGGCTATGCTTGCTATACACTTCGGGGAAAAACCAACTTCACAGAAAGATAGCTCAGGGAAAAGCACAAAATAAATGCTGAATTTAAGATTTAGCTTTGACGAGACGTCTGCTCCGATGAGCCTCATCCCAGTAATACCACATATGAAACAACAAAGAGACGAAAATGTCAAGATATTTTCGGACAGAATTTTGGCAAAGGCCACGTAACGTGCGTAATCCGGATGTACAAGATGTTGTTGTTCTTAGTGTTTAACGTCCGCTTCCACCGAGGGTGATATCGCAGACATTTTGTTTTATTTTTTCATTTTTTTAATCATCTTAGGGCACGCGCAAGGGTCTTTCCTGTGGGAGGAAACCGGAGGACCCGGAGTAAACCTACGAGGTTGGGAAGGCACCCCTATCCCCAAGCCACATACGCTCACACCAGGGATCGAAACAACAGCCGCAAGCCAGACATGTGCAACATGTCCAGCCTCGTTCTTCGAGTCCCCTGTTACAAATGGCACTGAAACGTATTATGGTACCCATCTCAATATAAGGATTATGTACGGTGGTGTTAATCAAGAAAGTACCCCGGGATTCTGCAGCGTGGTTTCTTCCTGTCGGTAGTGCAGAACGGAGGACCTGGCAAAGAACAGTGTCTAGTTGTGTAGATTGGACAAAAAGAACACGTACACATTGGCGTGCACATCAAAGAACCATTCACATATTGGATTCGATGACGAAATGCCACTGCCCCGGGAAAATTTCTCCCCCATAGCATATTGCATAGCGTATGCCCATTTTCACTAGCCCAGTTGGTGCAGAACAGTAGGAGAGGGAGAGAGAAATGGGGTTTAACGTCCACTCGACACAAACTAGGTCATTTCGCAACTAACACATAGTTCAATTTTAGGGGTCTTTAGCAGTGGGAGGAAACCGGAGAACCCTGAGAAAACCCACGAGGTTGGACCGGCGACCCTACTCCTTGTCACGTACAACCGGGGAATCGAAACCACGTCAGTTGACTCAATGACAGACCGGCCATCCACCCCCCCCCCCCGCCAGAAAAGTAGGACGTTAAACTCCATTTCATTGACTCAATTGGTAGAAAATTTGATATGACATATTTTTAAAAAAAAATAGAGAAAAAGTAACCATGAAAATATAATTTAAAATGAATAATGCTGTTATGGGCCTATTAAACTGTATATAATCGCAAAACATAAACATATATTATGGAATGGGGTTTAACATTATCTTGTCAACACATGCAATACTTCAGTATTTCATTAGGATTACATATGGTAATCTTTATTCTATGACTGTTTGTAAAATACAAGGAAGGAGAATTTTGCCCGGACAGCGTCTATCTGTCCATGCTTCTTTGATTTTGAACTGGCAAGCGTTCTTTTAAGTACATACGTACTTGTTTATTTTCTTGTTAGTACAATATTACTAACAAATATTTACACAACAATAAGATACCGGTACATAAAATTCAATTTTAAAAATTACAGATACTAACAAAAAATAATTCAATGCATAAAAAAACTTCTTTATTCATACTTAAACACCTTTTATTTGCCCACATTTTCGTGTATTATTCTGTCAACATTGTTCATCCGGACGTCTGTTCACATTTGTTTGTGGACACTCTACAGGTCACAATTTTTATCCAATTTAGATGAAGCTTACAATATATGTTTATTTCCCAAATAACTCGTAGACACGTCGAACCTTAAATTCCTGAATTATTACCCCTGATTGTTCGTTCATGAGAGGACGAATTCCATCGATAATCAATGCTTGGCAAAAGTCCGTTCCGGAGTTACCCCCTTTACTCAAAACTTCCTGAAAGCAATAGAAGTTACAGTTTTTAACAGATTTATATCAAATGAGGTGTCCCAGAGCCCCCCCCCCCCCCCCACGCCATCCCCTTTCTCCTCCGAACACGATAGATACTACATCTTTTAACAGATTTTTGTTCATATTTGATGTGAAAATGGAATGAAATGGGGTTTATCTCATGTTTTCTGCATGGCTGGGTTAATGTCGACAGGTGTTTGTAATACAGTGTGCTATGAAGTAAATTTTGCCCATACAGCAGCGTAATGACCTACTCTTATTTTAAATTCTGTCAAGGATTATTTTACATGCACGCCAACGAATCGAATAGACAATATCCTTGCCAGGTCCTCCGTCGAAATTACTGACAATAAAGTCTTTCTACCTGCAATAAAGTATGTTTTTACACAGTTATTTATGAGGGGGTTGTAGCAGAGAAGGGCTCATCTTCTATTTAGAGGTCTACAAAAGAAAGAAAGTACAGAGTTTAAAGGGGTATTAACATATTCATAAAGAAATTTGAGGAGTTTATTTTCGTATTAATATATTCAACATAATCCTTACAGAGATGAACTTATATATAATAAGCTCTGACTTGTTTTCAAATCCAATAATTATGTATCTTTAGAAGAAAAAAAACAGTGTCGCTATCTGATATTTAGACTTACATTCATGCAAATTGTATAATGCCAATACGACCTATATTTATCTTGCATAAAAAGTCTAAACACACTGTATCTGACTTGAAAGTATAACATCCATATACATAGAAATATTACTAGTCTACTCTACGGGGGGGGCGGGGGGGGGGGGTGGCTGAATGGTTAGCGTGCGCGCTCTGTATCATAAAGTCTGTCATTCAGTCGACTGGCGTGGTTTCGAATCCCCGGTTGTACGTGGCAAGGATTAGGGTCGCCTGTCCAAACTCGTGGGTTTTCTCCGGGTCCTCCGGTTTCCTCCCACTGCTAAAGACCCCTACGCGCAAGCGCATTATGTAAATAAAATTAAACCATGTGTTAGTCCCGAAATGACCTAGTTTGTGTCGAGTGGACTTTAAACCCCATTTCTCTCTCTCTCTCTACTCTACGGTAATACCGAATTATCTCCAGACGCCAACACCGATATATTTAAAACGGTTTACAAATATATTAAACATATAAAACACTTCACTCCGTAAAATAAACCTTGTGGCGAGGAATTTATTTATTTATTTATTTATTTATTTTCCATAACTAAAATAATGTAATTAGTTTTTGTCTATATCATATATTGTTTGAAGTTGTACGTATATTATACACCCAAACCAGAAGGAAACAAATAAATATAAGCCTACATGACTTGTTTTTTGTAGCCTGTTCTTTATGCCTTTATATTGTAGAGTATTGTCGAAATAAATACTGTTTAAACCAAACTTCACTCCTCTCAATGTAGTATAATCAATGTACGAATAATACATGAGTTTTAACATAATGGTCCAGGTAACTAATGACAACAGCTTGATAAACGATCAACTATTTCAAGACTTGTTAAAATTAATTAATGTTTAGTGTCATGATCTCCTAGAAGCATTTAGTTACTCAAAAGTGAATACAGCTACTAATTTATATAGTGTCGTGATCTAGAAGTATTTAGTTACTGGATATTGATATAGGTAGTGACTAGATATAATAATAAACTATAAAAACATGGAATACTAATATATGTAGGATTCTGTCAACACCATCAAACTATTACAGAATGTTATAAATATAACAAGGGGTGGGTAAGACGCGGGCTCGCTATCCTGGACGTCGCGTGTTCCATCCCTGCATTGGCCGAGAAAGTTCATCCAGATTTTCCGGCATGGTTCCCTCTTGTCAGTGATGCAGGACGGAGGGCCTGACAAGGACAGCTTTCTAGTCGTTCGGACGGGACAAAAAACCGAGGTCCCGTGTACACATTGGCGTGGACGTAAAAGATCCCTTGACAGTTGGAATTTGATATGAGTAGTCCGTAGTTCCGCTGTCCGGGCAAATTTTTTATGATCTGTTCCATCCTGGCTATAGTCTTGTTTTATCCGACATGTATGGGACGTCATGTTGTGATGACAAGTTTGCACGTGACAACCAGTATGGTACCAGCAGGTTCGATTGTCAAGCCTCGTGGTTTCCCCTCACACCCACAGATCATTACACACAATTGAAATGCCATTGTACCATCTCTCTCTCTCTCTCTCTCTCTCTAGAAAGGGGTCGTGTCAACAAAAACAACGTATGACACTGTTAGACAATTAATTTGATCACGCCAATGTGGCGGGGGTGGGTGGTTAACTCAAAGAATTGTTGATATAATCGTTTTTTATAGAAATTTCAGTAACATGCCCCACTGAGTAACATGGAATTATCAGAACTTTGACAGTCTGTAATTATTCACTGATATTTTAGAAATTGAAAATCAGTGTAAGAGTTTTTTTTGGTTACAATTAATCAATACTGATTATTGGTTTTTCTAAATTTCAACTTGTTATGTTATTTATTTATCTAATAAATATCTCACCACCTGTTGTCGTTCGTTTAATTAATTTTCTCACGTAAAATAAGAGGATGTTCATTGATTCTGTTTCAACCTCTGATTCTGAACAGATTGTAGTTAGCTTGACAGCCCGAAGAGTTGGTACAAATATTTGTGGATTTTCGTCATTTCATAGAATAATTGAATACAAAGCTGGATAATTAGAAGCACAGGTAACATTTTTATTTTTTATTCTTTATTTTTAAAAACATTTTATTTATTTTTTTAAAACTTGAGTCTTTTAATAGTTAAAATATTGAATACGTAATTTGACACCCTTCGGAGAGTTTGGCGGCTTGGTAGAAATTTTTGAATAAATGGAATTTTGAATTTTAGTCTCTTAATCGAATACAAAATTTGAAGCCTTCAGAGGATTAGCCTTGGTCGTCCTTTCGTACCTACCTGGACAACCTTTATATAATATTAGCACTGGTAGAATTTTCATTTTTATATTTTTTTTTATATATAGTCATAGCTATATGAATACAAATTGAATACAAAACTGGACAGTCTTTAGATAGTTAGAACCACTTGTAGAATTTTGAGGGAATGGTAGACTTTTAATAATTAAAATAATAGAATTCAAAACTTATAACTGAATTCAAAACTTTGATTATAGCGAGTCATTTTATATTCTGTTTTATCCATAAGCAATTTCATCATATTTAGTCCAAAATTATCAACTGTTTTGGGGGGTTTTCTTTTTTATTTCGAGATATTAGAATTTGCCGGGAACTTGGTTTTTTGTTTTGTTTTTTTAGTTCAAGAAATTAGAATATGGAGGGACAGTATGATGAAGGCATATCGGGTTTACAAGATGAGGTCAGACAGATAAAATTGTTAGCTAAAGACATGCAGCTGACGGACGAAGAAATACTTCAATGTGCCCAACAAGCTCTGGGAGTCAAACTTCAAAGTGATTGGGAAGTTCTCCGACGAAATCTTGAAATATTTAAAGAAGAATCAATAAAGTTTCTGGTTCTATCTAAGGAGGTATCGACAAAGATTCTTAAAAAATCTAGAGACGAATCGATCAAGTTTTATAACGCGGCTAAAATTGATTTTGATAGTTGTAAACACAAGACATTACTTACAAAAGCTGGCAGGAGCATCTTGATTTTTATGGCTATTTATTTAACAGCATATGTTTATCATATGATATTTGATTTGGAAGGCCCATTAGGAAAAACGTTCGCCATTGTTTTCTCACCTTATGACCACGCTTGTATGAGATATGTGAGGCTGTTGGCTCTACCTTTTCATACCATGTTAAATATAGGAGGTCAGTAGTTTTTATTCTTATTGTTTAATTCAACAAATGGTGCGTCTTTTACATTTTTCGCATTTATCAAATTTCTCAGATCTTAATTTACGCTAACGTGTAATTCGGATTGATTAATGAATATTTTATTAAAAAAGAGTCCACTCAACAAAAACGGTTTTATTTCGGGACTAACATATGGTAAAATTTTATTTCAATAATTCGTTTGCGCGTAGTGGTATTTAGCAGTAGGAGGAAACCGGAGGACACGGGGAAAACCCAGAAGGTCGGACAGACGACCTTACTCCTTGTTATGGACTAGCTGGGAATCGAAACTCAAGTGAGCGCGTTAGACCATCACGCCCCCCTCCTTCAATTATGAAAACAAAATCAAAATCAGTTGTACTTAATATCCAGGCTTTAGGTCAATCGGATTATAACCGGCCCATCATCAATTGGCGGTGATCGTGTTCGCATAGTGAGCAGCACAGATCTATAAAATATCTTTGTAAAAACTGAGATTCCTATTAGCGATTCAATTTGTATAATATTGTAGGGTTGTATCGGAGAGAGAATCCGGTGTAGGGTTGTATCCGGAGAGGGAATCCGGTGTAGGGTTGTATCCGGTGTAGGGTTATATCCGGTGTAGGGTTGTATTACATGATAATCAGACAGACATAATTCCCTAAATGAGAATTGCATGATATATTTTCAGTGTTACACAATGCACCGTGTCTAGTACACAATCCAGTATATGTGGAAGAGATCCCAGAGAATTGTTGGCATTGTGATCGAGTCAATCGTACCAGAATAGCTGTTCGCAATAATGTAACCATGCCAACTGCAGCACTTTCTAGGCCAACTCTATTTAAGGTAAATTGATAATTTAGGGGGTGCATCCTTTATTAGTTGTTAGTTTGTTGTTTATTTTGAGTGAAGTTTGTATCACTACCGACCCGGGACTATACTATGGAAGCCTATAACTACCATTCATAATTTCTACTTTTCGCCTCTTCACAACGCGAAAGTCGAAAAGTCGAAAAGTAGAAGTTACGACAAAATGTGAGGCGACAATACAAGCCAAAATCAACTCGAAAATAGGAAATTAAGAAATAACACACAGCGATAATAGCGCCCCTCGTTTTTTCCTACTATCTTATTTTCGACTTGCATTTTGGCTTGTATGCCGTCTTGTCGACTTTCGACTTAGTCATATTTTTGTATTTATTGATGTCAGTAAGAAGGCGCCAACACGCATACCAAGTCAAAATGCAACTCGAAAAGTAGAAATTAGGAAATTAACACACCACGCTATTAGCGACTTTTCGACTTTTCGCCTCGGAAGTTGTTGTAGTCCGTGTATTTGTCTTGTGTAATTGGTGTCTGTATATTATGTTCTATCCTCGAAAAGTAGAAATTAGGAAATTAACACACCACGCTATTAGTGACTTTTCGACTTTTCGCCTCGGAAGTTGTTGTAGTCCGTGTATTTGTCTTGTGTAATTGGTGTCTGTATATTATGTTCTATCCTCTTGTGTAATTCTATGTGTGTGTGGTGTCCGTGTATTTGTCTTGTTTAATTGTTTGTGCGTGGTGTCCGTGTATTTGTCTTGTTTAATTGTTTGTGTGTGGTGTTCGTGTATTTGTCTTGTGTAATTGTTTGTCTGTGGTGTGGTCTCCCTGCACCTATTATTAACCTGCAGATCTAAAGAATCAGAGATTAAGGGATTAACTATTCTTGTCTTATAATCTAATAATGGGATGCACCCAGCACACAGAGAACTATCGGCTTTAAGAACAGATCTCTGCTGTAATATTTAGAAATTAGTATACTACATGTATTTGTAATTGTAGGTGAAAGTAGAATAAATACTTCTTAAAGTAAAACGTCGATGCTGGAATTAAAATGTCTGCCAACAAGTTTGATGTTTGTTCTCAAGCGGAGTTAAATATAAACAGACAGCTTAAGTTTCGTATATTTGGGATTGGATAAACGAAACAAAAATATATTGAATTTTCCGAGCTCGATAACTGATCCAATGCTGTAGGATAAATACTCCTTACTTGTTCAGTGTTCTACTAGACTTGAGTTATTTGACATGTTGAAATACTTCATGCAGTGGGCTATGGTGGATATATTACTCTTAAAACGGAATGTCAGCCTCACCATGGGTTCTTTTACATGCCAACGTTATCAAGGTAGATCTTGGTTTTTTGTCCCATCCGTACGACTAAATACCATGTCCTTGTCAGTTATATTTTATACAATATATTTTTTTTCCTTTACAGAATTATACACAAGAAATGACTCTCACAAATTTAACAGATATTATTAAAAACCATTATAGTGATTTAGACAGCCCAACTATTGTAGTAAAATCAACGGTGCCTTGGTTAAAACGACCGGTGGACTTGGTCAGTGTTGAAAACTTGAAAGACAAAATTATGGAAACACCCAATTTTCATATGCAGTGGTCAGTAAAAATTGTTAAATTATTACCTTTGTCCCTCCACGTGATCTCTCTCTCTCTCTCTCTCTCTCTCTCTCTCTCTCTCTCTCTCTCGCACACACACACACACATACACACACAATTGAAATAACATTGTACCATCTCTCCCTCTCTCTATCTCTCCCTCTCTCTCTCTCTCATTGTAACATTAATTGTTTCAGGATCAGTAGACGGATTATGACAAGTCAGATATTACGATTTCTGTTTCCACGACCAAAATTTATTTCAAAAATATCGGAAGTCCTGATCTACAGACAGATAATAATTGATGGCCCAAGAGCTAAACCTTATCTTGTGGTGAGTTTTTATTATTATAACAATTACATAAAGAAATTGTAAATCAACACTTTTGTTGTCACGGTCGTGTGCTTATCCTCAAAGCGCGAGATAATGATATAGACATATGTGATATCACCTAATGCTTTGCATTAATGAAATTGAATCACAATGTTATCCTATTAATTCATAATAAACAATGACATCAAACGAGGTGTTGGATTTCTCTCTTTAAAAAGCTCAGTGTATATGTACAATATATACCCCAAAATGTCGATGGGAACATGTATTTCTCAAACAGTTTTGAAGCCGGGGGTTTGGAAAGACCCCCGGCCCCTTCCCAAAGATACATTGTTTCGGGTACCGGAAAAACCCCTCCTGTAAAAATTCCTGGATTCGCCCCTGATTACTGTAGTTTATTCAACAACATTTCACGAGTCTTTATATATATATTTAATCAGGCTTTTAACTGACTCTGTACACAATCGTTAACATGGCCATAATCTTTTTGTTTATTTATGATTACACCTGGACATGTTATATATGCTGTAATAAACCATAGTAATTGTTATCGATTGACTGTTTCTGAATTACCAAATATATCATACCTGGGACAGGTGTAGTACGCGAGAGGGTAAAAATAATAAACCAGGTTATTTTGTTATACTATAGATAGAATATATGTTTAATGGTGTCTTTTGGTTATAATGTTCTCTATAGTAATGGTACCTCACGTTGTGTTTGTCCCCTATATTCGATCCCTGCATTGGCCGAGAAAGTTCATCCAGATTTTCCGGCGTGGTTCCCCCTTGTCAGTGATGCAGGACGGAGGGCCTGACAAGGACAGCTGTCTAGTCGTTCGAATGGGACGAAAAACCGAGGTCCCGTGTACACATTGGCGTGCACGTAAAAGATCCCTTGGCAGTTGGAATTAGATATAAGAGTAGGCCGTAGTACCGCTGCCATGGTAAAATTTCCCTCATAGCACACTGTATGGCGTATGCCCGTCTTCATTAGCCCAGTTTAGGAGCAGAACAGTAGGACGTTAAACCCCATTTCATTTCATTTCATTTTGTCCTCTATAATAATGGTACTTCACGTTGTGTTTTTTTTATAATGTCCTCTATAGTAGTATTAATTTTTGTCTTTATGGCTTCTTCTACATTTTTATACTTAAATGCTTACTCGCAGGTTTTTGTATCATATTATCGTTTTTACCCTGTCCTTGATAACGACAAGAGGACACTTGTTGAAACGTTGCACTATTAAAGTTACTAGTGATTGTTATCCATAAAGTTGTGTTCGTGTTTTTTTTAATGTTAGTCCTATCACTAAATGCCTTATAAACAATAGATGTCGATATGTTGACGTGGTTCCACCACAGATATCGAGATGTTGACGTGGTTCTACCATAGATGTCGAGGTGTTGACGTGGTTCTACCATAGATGTCGAGATGTTGACGTGGTTCTACCATAGATGTCGAGATGTTGACGTGGTTCTACCATAGATGTCGAGATGTTGACGTGGTTCTACCATAGATGTCGACATGTTGACGTGGTTCTACCATAGATGTCGACATGTTGACGTGGTTCTACCATAGATGTCGACATGTTGACGTGGTTCTACCATAGATGTCGAGATGTTGACGTGGATCTACCATAGATGTCGAGATGTTGACGTCGTTCCACCATAGATGTCGATATGTTGACGTGGTTCCACCATAGCTGTCGAGATGTTGACGTGGTTCCACCATAGATGTCAAGGTGTTGACGTAGCTCTACCATAGATGTCGAGGTGTTGACGTGGTTCTACCATAGATGTCGAGGTTTTGTTGCGGTTCCACCACAGATGTCGAGGTCTCGTTGCAGTTCCACCATAGATATTAACATTTTCCCTCAGATCCCAAATGTTAGATGTGAGGCATAGCCCTTCATTTATACTTTAGATTCGTTCTCTGTGGGGGCTCTGCTGTGATAATCGGACAGGTTCATTGTAAGTCCGGCGCTGCGTTGTTCTGTAAGCTCTCTAAAGATATTCGGATAGATTCGGTATGGCTGTTCAAGCAGAGCGGCTGTCGGTGACGTAGAGTTGCTTTCTCTTTCTCTTACATTTTCGGTTAAATTATTTGATTTACTAAACTTGACAGATAAAGCTTTTCTAATTTTTTTACCTATTTTCGACAAATGGAAACAGAAGGCAAAGACAACGATAACTACAAAGATGATACCTGACCCAATTGTGTAATGTCGCCAATTAAACCGTTTCTTCCCGGTTTTACTGGATTTGAGGTTATTTAGTTCAAATATTAAATGAGACATTGGGATTGTTTCAAGCCCACGTAATTTCTTGGGTAGTTTTTCCAGGGTATAGTTTTGAAGTTTGGATTTGACGAGTGCCCATAATTTTGTCCATAGAACATGTTGAACGTGCTAATGATTCGGTCAAAAGAGGGTTTATCGAAATAGTTAGATTCGTTTTGATACAAGGGAGGCATCAATCCGTTGTATATCATTAGTCCAGGTTCAGAGCCTACGAATCCGTCTTCGATTCCAGACACATGTAATGATTGTGTCTGTGGTATCTGTTGCAGCTTGGTTACACACAGCACACTCGATTGTGGACACACAGTCACGTCCCTCGTTATACGCAAGAATGACGAGACATATGTGTCGACAATAAGGGGGATATATGTCCCATCAACCAAGATCAAAGTAGAGCCTAACATTATTATCTACCTAAAAACCCTATCTAATTCAAATTCCTGTTCATGCTCGTAACAAATTTTTTCTTGTTCATTTCGAAATGCAATATCGCATGACCTTCAACCTTAATTTCGTGGTCGTTGACAGACTGGAGCGATATCGTTTCATGAGATAATTTTGGTTTATAGATAAGTGCTGTATATAAGGGAACAATCAGCCCCAGAATACAAAGGCACCTATAAAGTTGTCGTTCCAATTTCAACAAGCATGAACTCGGATTCACCGCCAAACTTATGTATTTAATTAGTTTTGGTTCATCGCCACTCTCTCCAATAGCTCTTGGATCGGAGAGAGTCTAGTAGTTTCCCTGTTCTAGCATTTGGCCCCTGCCTAACGGCCTTGGTCCGCGTTTTTGTCTCGTGGGTCCCCTACGCTGTCCTTGTCCCTGGGATTGCCGTGGGCAATCCCTTCTAAAATGGCCCACCTCGCCACAGTTCCAGCATGAATACTGGGCTTCCCTATTTTCGACTGCGTTAACGCGTTGTGAGCGACATTCCTTCGTTCGGTGACCCACTCGGTTGCATTTACGGCATTTTCGTGGCCGGAATTGATCCACTTCTATTCTTTCCGCTATCGCCGCCGGGGGTGCCTGTTGGCCCGTACGCGTCAAGTATCTTTTCATGAATTCTTGTTCCTGTGTGGCGATCAAGGTCGCGTCCTGTAACGTTCGTGGGTACTTCCTCAATAGCTCACAGTACAGCTGTTTATCAGCTATACCGCCCGTAAACGTCAGCACCATGTGGGCTTGTACGTCTGGATTTTCCACGTTTGAATAAGCTAGATGCGCCGTTGCTAAAATTCTATCTGAAAATTGTTGGACATTTTCATCCTTTTTTTGCTTGAGATTCCTCATGGAGTAGATCATGGCCATAGTATCTGACCTTTCATCGAAACGAGACGCCTGGTAAGCGCACTCTCGTATAGCTCCCCTTGAAAGATTTTTAATTGTTGCGTATTTTTCTACAGTTTTTACCCATGATTGAAATTTTCGCGGGCTACCATATTTGTAGTTATCGCATACCCTAATCGATGCCTCAGTTTGTGCGGCTGTTTGAGTCGCAACCTGTGTAGTCAGGGCGCCTACTGTATTTGATAGGCTCCCCACTGCGTTTTTGAGTTGCTTTACGGTTCCGTTTAGATCATTTAGAATTGCCTCTGCCATTTTAATATCACAAATTGTTTACCTTATGTTTTCTTCGTCTGTCTTCTTAAGCTGGATTTGATATACTTTATCCTGGTCTAACGGCACAAATTACACCTCTATGTAGTACGGGAGAGGGTAAAAATATATGATATTATACCAACGGATTTATTCTGAGACAGGTGTAATACGGTAATAAACCTGGGTCTTTTGTTATAATATAGAATATACCTTTAATGGTGTCCTTTGGTTATAATGTCCTCTATAGTAATGGTACTTAAACCCCATTTCTCTCTCTCTCTTTCTCTGGCCTTATATAGGTACGTGGTCAATGTGCATCATCATGATGCCCGGAGGACATGTTGTGATCATTCATAAAATAAATGTTCAGAGGGTATCGTTGTCAATCATTAGAGGTTACCGAATACAAAGGTCTATTGTTTTACTTATATACTTATAAATTAAATAGGTTACCTGGACAATGGTTTGACCGACATCGAGTACGACTATTTTACACAGGAATATTTTAATTATAACAAATTTTAATTATTTTTAAGAGTGAAGATTCTGAAGGAAGTATTATGTACATGCAGAATACAGGAAACCGGACATTAGACTTTGTTCAGAAGAAAGGTTGTGAGCACAAATGTAATCGTTTCCAAACAGTTATAGAATCTGGTGACGTCAGTAAGTATACAAGTCTTTAGACAGCAGATTTCCATGTGTATGTGTGAAGGGCGTGGTCAATAATCTAGTATGAAAGAAGGGCGTGGCCTGTAATATAATGTGAAAGGAGGGCGTGGCCTATAATCTAATTTGAAAGAAAGCTTTTATTTCTGCTTGGTTCTTTTAATAGACAATGTTCTTTGACAGACCCCCACCCCCCTTTACTGCTCCACTGACAGGGTTGAACTATCTCGTCCACCACAAGGATCGAACCCTGGCCACCTTGTCAACGAGCCCTACTCAATGCTTAGTATTTAAACCTTTCTGGAAGTATCGTCTTTAAAGACGCATTGTACTAAACACCAATCTGCCGATTAATATAAATGAGACATTTATTAACTTGCCAAGACCATAATCATCTCTCGATGCCGGCAGATACTCGATTTAAACACGATTGGCGGTTAATGGGTTTATTAAACAATGGATAATCGAGATTTTGTTTACTATAGCAACAACGGTAGCAATAACAATCGAGACAGTCCTAACGTCGCTCAGATTATGTGACTGACACGTTAAAAAAATTCCCTTTGATTTATTTTATAAAAATAACTGTCAGCTCTGTATCTAAATCTTACGTAATATATCTTTAACATAACTAAATCTTTAATATAACTATTATAACAAGAACGACCAGCTCTTTAACTAAATCTTTAATATAACTATTATAACAAGAACGACCAGATCTTTAACTAAATCTTTAATATAACTATTATAACAAGAACGACCAGCTCTTTAACTAAATCTTTAATATAACTATTATAACAAGAACGACCAGCTCTTTAACTAAATCTTTAATATAACTATTATAGCAAGAACGACCAGCTCTTTAACTAAATCTTTAATATAACTATTATAACAAGAACGACCAGCTCTTTAACTAAATCTTTAATATAACTATTATAACAAGAACGACCAGCTCTTTAACTAAGTTTTTAATATAACTATTATAACAAGAACGACCAGCTCTTTAACTAAATCTTTAATATAACTATTATAACAAGAACGACCAGCTCTTTATAATGTATCTTTAATATAACTATTATAACAAGAACGACCAGCTCTTTATAATGTATCTTTAATTTAACTATTATAGTGAGATTTGTCCGCTCTGTATTTAAATCTGACTGTACAATAAAATGTGTAGAAATATTAACCATTGTGAATACCGTCGGCCCTGTCATTTTAATCTGATATAAAGAATATTAAAACTTGTTATAAATAATATTTTATATTGAATCTGTTTTTCAGTTATATTTCCACCTATATGGGATACCTATGTTCAAGAAAATGGTGACACTTTAAGTCTAGCTTCTATTAGCTATGTTGACCTGAGATAAAGTACGGTCACAGACTGTTTAACTTTAGTTTCTATTAATCGGCTATGTCTAGTTTCTATAACTCAGCTGTGTCTAGTTTCTATCAATCACCTATGCATAGCTTCTATCGATCAACTATGCCTAGCTTCTACCAATCAACTATGTCTAGCTTCTATCAATCACCTATATCTAGCTTCTATCAATCAACTATGTCTTTCTTCTATCAATCAGCTAATTCCAGCTTCTGTCGATTTGAGATATGATAATTATCAATTGAATTACTTATTACAGAATTTAAAACAAAATAAAATGTATGTAAGATATTGTTGGTCTCTTGAAAATATTACTGAAGCGAAATCGCCGCGGATACAAATGAAATGAAATGGGGTTTAACGTCCTATTGTTCTGCAACCGCCTATACAAACGCTATTGTTTTTGTTGGTTTATGGGCTTTTCCTTGGATCCTTGACCGATATAAAAGGTTTGAATGTTAGTAAATCTCACCCGATCCCTATAATGTTATACTTTACCAAACCCCTTGTTATTGACTGGAGGTCGCAGGACTGTAAATAATAGATTGATATTCCACACCAGGCGAGTAATTGTAAATAATACATTGATATTTCACCCCAGGCGAGTAACTGTAAATAATACATTGATATTCCACCCCCGGCGAGTGACTGTAAATAACAGATTGATTATTAATATATTTAGTTATTATTAATATATTTAGAGCCCACTCCATACATTATCTCAGTAGGCTTTACAATTTATACATATAACACAGAACACAATAAAAATAAAAATATCATAATATACATAATAAGAATACGTGATATGTGATAAAGATACAATCATTAATTTAAAGGTAGTATTGCCTAAAAAGAAACGTTTTGAGAGTGGCCTTAAATTGACTGTAAATATCGATTGCCCTAAGATTTCGAGGGAGAACATTCCACAGTTCGGGCCCACAGACTGACAGTGAGCGCTTTGCATATGCGGTAAAATGGCGTGCCTCTCTCGTGGAGGGTGGTTCGAGTCGGATCTCATCCGAACTACGAGTGACTCTTCCGGATCTCTGAACGGACACCAGCTCACTGAGGTAACGCGACGCCGTACGAAGGTGAATACTTCTGAAAATAATACACAGAATTTTGAAGCGAATTCTGCTCTCGACCGGAAGCCAATGGAGCTCACGTAGCATGGGCGTGATAGAATCACGCGATCGATGCGACATCCTGGCAACCAGCCGAGCAGCAGAATTCTGGATTAGCTGTAATTTCTGAATTTGATACGAAGGCAGGCCGAAAAGTAAACTGTTTCAGTTATCCAATCTGGATGTAACAAAACCATGAACTAATTTTTCCGTACTTCTTTGGTCCAAAAGATTCCCCAATTTTCCTATACGCCAGAGAGAGTACGACGCAGCACGACACACGGCGACAACATGCTCGCTCAGAGAGCCGGAAGAGTCAAATATTACGCCCAGATTCCGGGCCGACTGGGACGGGGGAACTGTGACGTCACCAATCCGCACAGCAGCCTCCAGGGCCCGATCACTGACCCTCTTGTTTTTAGACGTAAACCAGAGAACCTCGGTTTTCCCGTCATTAAGAGCAAGCATGTTTGCCTGCATCCAGTGGCGGATCTCGGTCACGCAGGCCTCTATGGAGGCAACAACAGAATAGTCAGTGCGGGTCCTGCAAGTCATGTAGATCTGAGAATCGTCAGCGAAAATGACACAGTTTAATCCATGCTGGGAAATAATATTTTCTAATGGTGACATGTAAAGTGAAAATAACACAGGCCCAAGAACAGAACCTTGAGGAACACCGTATTCAAGTGATTGATGTGATTGATGTCTCACCCCAGGCGAGTGACTGTAAATAATACATTGATATTCCACCCCAGGCGAGTACCTGTAAATAATACATTGATATTCCACCCCAGGCGAGTAACTGTAAATAATACATTGATATTCCACCCCAGGCGAGTGACTGTAAATAACAGATTGATGTCTCACCCCAGGCGAGTGACTGTAATTTCAATACTGAAGACATATTTCTATAATTTTTACCCAAATCCTATCATTTAAGTTTTTGTGTTTCATCACACAAACAATTTATCAGCTTTCAGCAGTTGATTAAATACCCCTAGAATATCCTCCTTGTACAAACTTCCTGCCATAAGTTGTTGGATGAATTTGGGGAGGGCTGGGGGGGGGCGCTTTAGAACCGAGAACAGTCTTCATTACCCTGTAAATGCTCCCATTAGCAAATATAAAAGACGAAATAAAAATATATTTAGTTTAATGGAATGTTTCCAGGTTCCTCACTGGAAATAAACAAACGTAACAATATATATACAATATCACACTCAAATAACATACATACACAATATAACACTGGTATAACCTATATAACACAGGTATAACCTATGCACACAATATAACACTGGTATAACCTATATACACAATATAACACTGGTATAACCTATATAACACTGGTATAACTTATACACACAATATAACACTCATATAACCTATATACACAATATAACACTTAAATAACATATATACACAATATAACACTGGTATAACATATATACACAATATAACACTGGTATAACCTATACACTATATAACACTATATAACCTATATACACAATATCACACTCATATAACCTATATACACAATATCACACTGGTATAACCTGTATAACCTATATACACAATATACATTATACTATTTACAAACATAATCTGACATTCTTTTTTAAAGCATGTATTATCTTAAGACTATTTAAGCGACGGATCTGTAATTTGGGGTGATGTTATCCCATATCCATATTGAACAACGTGTTAAATGATATAAGTACAACACTACATTAATTATTTCACTTTAAACATTCTTCTGGGCAAAACTTTAATGATATAAGTACAACACTACATTAATTATTTCACTTTAAACATTCTTCTGGGCAAAACTTTAATGATATAAGTACGACACTACATTAATTAGTCCACTTTAAATATTCTTCTGGTCCAAACGATATGTCACCTTGATTTACCCCGCTGTATCGACATGTATAGACTGTGAAGTTTATTGTAGGTTAAAACCATCAGTAGTATATCTTATTTATGTTGTAATTATCAAATGTAATCAGCTGTCATTATTTTATCGTTGTAGATATTCCCAGGTGAGAATCAGAGAACATTTTAACATAAAATATTTATAAAATATAATATCAAAATAAATGTATACCAAAAAGAAAATTAATAAAAATTGTATCCAAAAATATCACAATGCATAAATATCAAATATGCAATTTTAAGAAAATATATAAATAAATAGAAATCTAAATAAAACAAAATGTTCTATATGTAGAGTATTAAGAGCCATTCCACGAGAAAACCATGCAGAAGGTTCGAAGGTGGGGGTCGGCCGATTGAGTTCATATTTACAGGGTTTGGTCGACCCATTGAGCCTACTCCACAGCCAAAATCGCCGATTTTAGAAATCAACTGTTTCTGAGATACAGCCTGATTACGTTTTTCGGCTAATTTTCTTCATTTTCCGGTCAAATTTCGACCATTTTTGTAGCATTGCTATAGCCGTTAATCGACCGATGGCGAACTAAGTTTTGGTTGGTGATTATAGTCCGGGTCTCACCCTACCGTAGTATAATAGTCATCCAGTGCAACCTCTCTTTCCGTAGGTGTCATGACACTATACAAATCACGTGTCTGCAGACACCTGAATTATACCCTTTATTCAAATTGCGATAACTCCACTGGAGCAGGGTTTACGATAAAAATGGAAATTGTTTTATTTGCAGCTTGACCTGTTCTAACAACATAAAAAATAAAATCGTTGTCAACTAACCTACAACAGTATGAAAATTTGTGTCGAAAGTTGCGAAATTCATCACTTTTCGCGTCGAATTTCCGCTTTTTAAGTGTTGGGATTTCGTCCGTACATTCCGGACATGCCCTACGCTATTTCATCAATCTAGTCTTGAACAGAAGTCATTGCTTCTCTTTTGTTGGACTAATTATCAATCCAATAAGAGTGAGTATCAACCTTATCTACGTGATTACCTCAGTTGTTTCTCCATTGCCGGACAATTTAATCTCATTAATATCAACCGACAGCACGTAGAAACTAATCCTTGATGTCACATATTATCCTAATAGTATATAACATCCTATTAAACCTTTAACTTCTGTAATGAAACTACTTCTTTTAAGACACCATATATAAATTCCCATCAACAGTGGCACTTTCCCGCGATCTCGATTATCGCACGAAAATCGCTTACCATATAAGGCAGTGCTTACTACGAAACTACTGTATGTGTTATATGTTAACGGTTTCGTACGCCATATGCTAAAGTTCTGTATGCCTTTTAGAAGCGATTTAACTATCAATGTAATTTTAAAATACCATTTTACGAAAATGATTTGACATCACCACAAGTAATTCTCATTTCGGACATCTTTCTTTCATTTGCTGCCGTATAAACAAAGACTCGTAATTTTGGAGGAATATTACTGCCTTGAATTTGATTGAAGCAGGCACGGATCGGCAAATTTCATTCTATCGTATTACGAAAGCACGTAATTTTGTAGGAATATTACCGACATAAATTTGAATACCATACGGGAATTAAATAATGAATAAGCGGTTGCCATGCAAGATACGCCCACATTTTTGAAGAGATGGACAGAGAACAAGCAAAATAAAAAGCGATTTTTTGTACAATCAGGGGCCATCATCCAGTATGTTACAGTCTGACATGCGACAATATCAAAAGAAACCAAGATCTTTGGGATATAAAAGTATATATAAAAGTTTCATCAAGTTGAATAAAAATTGTGACATCAAGGGGGACTACAAGCTAAAAAAATCGTGATTTTTCGTATATTCAGGGGTCATAACTCAGGAAGTTACGGTGTGATATGAGCGAATATCGAACGGAACCGAGATCTTTGCAAAATAAACATACATTTTAAGTTTGATCAAAATCGGATAAAAAATTATGTTCTCTAGAGTGTCCACACTCTTGGAATTACATATTTTTTTACACTATTTGCGTATGAGTAGCAGTTTCGGTCCGATTTTCATGAAATTCAAACTTAGTCGTCATTAAGGCGTAACGGTGATATATTGAAACGGTTTTTATAATCGGATAAAAATTATGACATCTAGAAGAACTTCAAGCTAAAAACGCGATTTTTCGTAAAATCGGGGACCATATTCCACGAAGTTACGGTGAGATATGCGCGAATATCGACAGGGACCGAGATCTTTGGGATCTAAACA